AAGAAGAGTCTGGTCGCTGCAGGTAAGGCATTAACCCGATCAAAGACCTCCCACAGCTGAGGGTCGCGTGAATGATGGCGTTACCTCACGGCTTTTGGGTGATGCAAACACGGACTAATTCTGGCTAATCTTCTTCGTGTGCGATTTTTAAACACTCTTTGTGACTTATTTTGATATATAAGTCTCTAAAAGTGCGAGCTTTTCTCTAACATTCGCTTCTTTGGCGTTTATTTCCACGAAAGAGGTTATGCAGAGGTTATGCTAATGTGCCAGTTTATTAGGAACATCAACAATCCTGCAGCTGTTTTTAAGAGGGGCGCTGTTCAGCTCAGGAAGGATCTAGCCCGGTTTGGTGTGCAAAAACATACAGATATTTAAAGTGTTATTAGATTTATCGGTCTCTTACTTTCATTATGTAACACGTGGTGTGCTTAAATCTGATGTGTACTTTTATTTATTTATTTATCTTTAATCCCTACAGCTGAAAGTCGTCAGGAAGTCCAACAAATCGGAAGTTCGCAGACCAAAGACAGGCTGACATGGCCCCAACACTGGTTAGTAAAAGAACGTGATGACATTTATAGCCTCAGAGCTGTTTATTGCATGAAGCTGATGTCTATTTAAAGCGAGTCAGCGTGATCGGGTCAAACGTGCTGCAATTATTGCCAAACACACTCTTTTGGAAATTCAAACATTTTCCCCCTCTCTTCTAATCCAAGTATGACGAAAAGCCAGAGCCTGGGGATTTAATCGAGATCTTTCGTGGCTCTTACCAGCACTGGGCTGTGTACATTGGCGATGGCTTTGTTGTTCACTTGGCACCACCCTGTGAGTCCCACCACACACATATACACACACACTGTCTGGATTCCTTCCCCCAAACCCCATCACTGAAAACAAAAAGCAGCTTATCTGAGAGGCCACATGCAGATTCTGTGATGTGGGTTTTCAGGACAGAACACAATGTAAATTATTTGTTGGGGTACAGCCAACTCAAACTCTTGCAATATTCAGCATGTAAACTGAGTGGGTTTTGTCCCCAGCTGAAGTCCCGGATGCCGGCGCCAACAGCGTGATGTCTGTCCTAACCGAGAAGGCGTTGGTGCAGAAAGATGGGCTGTGGGACGTGGTGGGAACTGACGAGTGGAAAATCAGCAACAGTCTGGACAAGACGTACGAGCCGCGCTCGCCTGGTGTCATTGTGAGGGAGGCCTGCAGGCTGGTGGGCCAGGTGCTGCCGTACTGCGTCATCAGGGGAAACTGCGAGCATTTTGTCAATGAGCTGCGCTACGGCAAGGCGGAGTCCCGGCAGGTAGGCCCAACCACATCAATCCTATGTGTCACTATAAAAACACGAAGTGAGACAAAGCACTGACACACAGGCGGTGGCGGAGGCTGGGCGGTGTAAGTTTCAAACAATAGAAATCTTCAGTGAAGAAGGAAAAAATTGCAGAAAAAGCCAGATCAAATTTACAGAAGAAATAGTTCATTTCTTAACCCTGGAGAACCCATGGGGTCAAATTTGACCCCATAGTTTCTCCAGGGTTAAAACAAACATGGGGATTAAAGATTCATTCATAGCTATAACTTTGAATCCTTTCATTCTTCTGTGACACCAGCTGGGAAATTATCTCTCATACCAAACATTGCTTGCTCCACCCCTCCTGTTTGCTCTGAAGGTTTGCCATCTTCTAAATGATGAGTGGCTCAATCAGTTGCAATTAGCTGTAATTAAATATAAATTCATTTATTTGTCTGTTAGGGATTCAAAGCAGGGTACAAGAGGCTTTCCAGCTTCATACAACACCGAAACATCAAAATGTCACCACATACAAGGCATTAGTAAAGGATTATGTAAGAAACTAAAGAGAGAGGTAACTGTGAGTAACAGTGGGAAGGGCTTTTAAAGGGCGGAATGATATCAGTGGAGTCAACATGCTGCATACAGTGATAAGAGGGAACTTTTGGGGCCTGGGACATGGCAGGGCAGGTCTGTGCACGCTGGTTTTACAACCTTTAGTTAATATTTAAATCTAAGCATCAGTGAGTAAACGTGTAAATTGTAAAATTGTATCTGATCCTGGAAACTAAACACACAAAGCCTTCAAAGATTAGTTGAATTTGCTTAAAGTGCATTGAAGTCCACCCATTACCTTTTCTGAACAAGGCTCTGAGTCAAAATGAAACTTAACAGGCAGTGAAAGTGAAACTCTAAACTGCTCCCAGTGCAGGTGAAGCTCTGTAGGAGCGTCAGCTGCTCTTACTGAATCAAGTTCTGCATCCACTTGATTTCTCCTATTCCAAACTTTGTACATTAAGTATAAACACTGATGTGTTGTTTCAGGAATGCTTCTTTCAGACACTAAGAACAAATAAATGTCATGATCTTTTAATTATCAGATGTTTTCACTGAAACCCAATCCGCCCAAAATCTTTTAAAAGTTCAAATCGGTTTTTGTTTTTTTTAAGTTGGGCAGCGTTGGGGATTTAAATTTTTTTGCTACTTTATAAATTTCAAAAAAATAATAAATCACGTTAGCTGCAATGTTGTATGTTTTCCTTGCAGGTGCGTAAGGTAGGAGAGGTCGTCATGTATGCAGGCTTGGCTGCGGCTGCGGGTGTGGGTGTTTTCGCGCTGGCACGATGGTTGGGAGGAAGCAAAAACGAAAACAAGGAAACGCAGTGATGATCCTTCGTCCTCTTTTGTTTTGGGTCTGGATTAGCAGATCACCAGCAAAGCCTAACTGGCGCCTGCCATAATCAGTCGCAGATAAATAACACTGCCTAACGTGTGATTTAGTAGGAAATTGGGATCGGCTTCACCCCTATCTGTCCTTCATGTTGCTTTTTGTTTTGTTTTTGGGGGGGAAATGATGTAAGGCTGGCTAGTTTGTATTTTTGGGGTTGTTTAAAATTTGTACATACAGCACAAGTTTGACAGTTTTTCCTCAGAAGATGAAATATGTGGTTTTCATATCAATGAAATGAGTGTGGATAGCTCATGAGGGATGACGGTTGGAGGGTATTTATGATTATATAATATATGATAACTTTAAAACCATTTGTGAGTTTATAAAGTAAATGGGTATAATCAAACATCGGGAGAGAAAATAGGAGGTGCTATAAGTGAATACTCAATATTAAGCTAATGAGTCTCTATGCTAGGTTATGTAGGATTTCTTAAAAAAAAAGAGCACAAAACCTTACATGATCAACATGTTTCTACAGTTCATATATATCGTGTTACACTGTTCCTCTGATGTTTCACTGTTTGAACAAGTTTTAAATAAATGAATTGTTTGACTCAATGATAGCCTGGAATGTGTGATATAGCATTCTTGTCATTGGACACATAAATACAGCCTATTACATTAAAGTCTTTGCAAAGGCACCCTGCACCATTCTTGCACTTCCAATTCTGTTCATCCCTGAAACCAAAAGAAGCTTTCACAAGGTCTTGCTCTGCAGTCTAGTTTAACTAAAAATTTACCTGTGACAGGGATGTCACTCCACATGAAATCTGTAACAGACTCCCACCTGACCCCATCAGAATCAGCTGATTTTTAAACAATAGCACTTTTCCCCCCAGCACTTGTGAACACGGCTAGATGCAGTTTAACCTCTATTAAAAATAGTGATATGACCCTTCAAAGTTTTCATCAAAATCCATCTTTTTATCACATAAATTTTCAGAAAACAAATAAAACATGCAGGGTAACAGTGCTGGCTTCTGCTACTCTATGTCACAGTTACTAAACTACTGAAACTGATATACATCATATTTATGTGCAACACCATCCCCACCAGTGACAACATAGTCCAGCAATCAGTGTTTTCACATCGTGCTGTAGTGTTAAACATCTATCTAGTCGTTCTTTTAATACACACGATCCCTCTATCTTACTGTGGGAGGCCTTTAATGATTAGCGATCGAGTTACTGCCAAGAGAAAAAAAAAATGTTCTGAAGATGTTGGCTTTAGGTTTTGAAGCTTGTTTATAACAAATGTCACACAGCTATCTCCTACAGCTGTGAATTTATTGGGGGTTAGAAAACCATTGGAAATAATTAACACATTAAATTATTAAATTCTGTGCTAAAGTCTTTATACATCGAGGGCAGGAAAGTAAAACTTTGCATGGCTCATTAAACATACTGAAGTTACTGTATGCTTAAAAAAAAAAAAAAATCAGGTGATTCTGTGGGAGTCAGGTGGTAACCTTTCTCAGGTTTCACTCATTTCATATGAAACGACCCTTTTATACGAGCTAACAAAGAAAGCAGCAGGTGTTATCAGGACTCAGATTCCAGCTACAAACATACTCACTAACCTTCAAACACAGGAAGACAAGCATAGAAGAAGAAACTTTATTTAATACGTCAGAATAGCTCACATGCTACATGATTTGTTTTCTTAGTAAAACATCCGGATTTCTTTCGACTAATGCAGCGTAGTCCTCTTCATAACTGGACCCGAACAACCAAAACCCGGATTTTAGATCCAGTGGCGATGGGCTCGGATTGTGTCAACTGGCTCATCCATAAAACGTCTAGCTCGAAAGACCAAACCTAGAAATACCATATCCGACCCAGACAGGCCACACAGGGTCACGCTGTACGCTTTAATGCGTTCCAGGTCCGCTTCTCAAGTGTCAGTTTAAATGTGGAGTTATTGATCCCGTCAATTAATTAAAGGCACAAATAATAAAATCAAAAGTATAAAAAGGTTCTCCTTCACCTATACCAAACCATATATTGCCTAAAATGACTTGGTGGTAAACAAGTGATTCCAAAAGGTGATCATAAGCACTACAGACGATTTCACATAGCCTCCACCACAAGGCTACAAACTCACCTGATTTTGCCCTAAAACCACCGGATTTGCATCTTTCTATGTCCCAGCTCCTCCAAAGTGCATGTTTATCATTTAAAGATCTCTAAGCAGTCACCTGTGTTACCTGTCGGGTCACTTCTGTAAAATACAGTGTTGCATGTGCAAAGTAAATTCAGCACGTTTTTAATTTCTTGCCATGAAGCCTTTTGTTAGGCCACACAATACACAGTGCATGCATGAACTTATTCTTAGTCTGTAACTGAATTAAAACATTCGAAACCACAGTGTGTGTGTGTGTGTGTGTGTTCACATGTACTGAAAAACATTCAGCACAACAATACATGTGTGAAGAAAAATTCTATTATATATATATATATATATATATATTTGTGGGGGTTTTTCTTCTAAAAAAGTCATTTTTTTAAGACAGGATGCACCAGTTATGTACATATAGTTTACAAGAGCAACTGTGGGAGTCATGAATAAAAAATAATGAGGGGGACATCGTCTGAAACCTGCTCAGGCCTCTGCTGCAGGGGGTGCTGCTCTCCAGATTTCCTCTCCGTCTCCATCTTTTATCTGCGTCAGTTTTTTTTTAGAGGAACAAAGACAGAAAATCCCCAAACTAAAAGTCGTCCAGAGGAAAGGTTCTCCTCTGCCTTCTCCATTTTAGCGACTGTCAGTTTTCTTTAATGCTGCCACTTCTTTCTGGTCCTTAACTTGTGGAATGTGGAACCTAGATCTGCTGCTTTGTGCCACTCTGTTAGGTCCTCATCAGTCCAGCTTGCGCGCGCCCAGTTTGAGAGGACCTTTAGCAGCTTTTCGTTCCGCCCGTTTCGCCTCCAGTTCCTTCCTCCTCTCCTCGCGTTTCTTTTTGGACAGCTCTGCCTTGCTGAGACCTAAGTGAAAATAAAACCAGAATATCAATGACATCGTAGCTCAGGAGGCACATGATCGATCACAATTCACATGCTACTGCCTGTAAAACAAAAAAAAATGTGACCTTGGCTCTGAGAGCAGTTTGACTAAAGACCCATCAGCTGATCATTGTGAGCAAATTTCACTAAAATCAGACTAATGATCTAGGAGGTGTCATTCTTATGAATTGTGAACAGACATATGATGGATTTTTCACTGGTCCTTTACTGAATAAGCTAAAAATAAAGGGGCAGCTCTGTGATTTATTACTGCAGGTCTATATTTTTAGAAGCCTCACAGGAAACGCTAAAAATGCCCGACTGAAAGGAGGTACGAACTGATTGGAGTCTCTACAATCAGGCCAATCCAGGTTCTCATTTCTGATTAAGGTAACCTCGTTGTTGGACTTACCCTGGCTTCCATCTACCGACTCCCAGCTCTCCTCAGCTCCCCAGTCTCCTGTCGGCTCGGCGCCCCAGCCATCTCCAGACTATCGTTGAGAAAACAACACAAACATAATTCTCTGTTATTCAAACCTAATCAAGCCAATGTACAATTATTGAAGAAAAAAAAATCTAATTTAGTTCTTTAAAAATAAATAAATAATATAATATTTAGTGATCTCGATCTCAATCGATAGATAGATCTGTTAATGACCTTTTCTTAAACAACAGCGATTTTATTTTGAAGGTAAAAAAGAAGAAGAAAAAAGCCCACCGTGATGCTGAGGGCTGATCATGTGACTGCAGCTTTATGGTGTGCTCTGTTAAAATGCCATTTCAATGAAATCGGATAAAGTTTGGTGTTCCCTCTAATACACATGTAAGACTTTCAAGCCATAATCAAAAGTGCATTTAACACTCCGTTGTTTTTTTCTCCCAAATCTGAAAACCAACTTCTGTATTTTTGGCTCACTGCGCTCTCACCGTGGCAGCAGACATGCTGGCTGTGTTTCTCTGGGACACGCTGGCGAACAGATCGTTTTGACTGGCGCCCTTTGTCGTGCTGTCCCAGTTGTACTCGCTGGCTAACCGCACACCTTCGGGCAGGGGCAGCGTTTTATTGGCCGAGCTTGTGTCGGTCTCCTCCTCCCCCCAGTCGTTCCCCCAGCCTTCCTCGCCTGCAGAGCTCTGACCCTGACCTTCTTTCTCGTTGGACCAGCTGTCATCGGCATCCCAGCCTGAGCTCCAGTCGGAGCTCTGTTTTTTCACCACCATGGAGGTGGATGAGCGGCTCGCCTGCGTCACAGCGAAGAAAACTGAAATGAGTCCAGCTGCAGATTTTGATTTTTCCACATCTACATACACCCCCCAGATGTGACCAATTATTTTTTTGTTTTTACCGTGGAGAAATTTTTTTTTTAACATTTGTTTTCAATAACATATACAAGTATATATTACAGGTAAATGGGAACCTTTCAAGTCAGCAGACTATACTAGGAGGATTAATAGTTTAATATGACTCACAGTAATCTAACAATATCAGCAGTGCTCACAGCATTAGAGGAAGTAGAATGAGCACAAAAGGAATGACTGTCAAATAACTGCAATGCTTAGCATCTTCCGTCTGACCTTCTTTTTGGATGAACTCATTCCTGACCAGTCGGTGTTCCAGTCATCGGGCTCAGTCTGAGCTTTCTCTGGCTCCTTTGAGGAAACGTGCAGTCAATTTATGTGATTTCAAATTATAATTATGTGAGACCATAATCTTCCATTTATGCGCAATACATATCCTAACTATTTTCTCCCTACCTCCAAACTTCCCCAGTCCTCCTCCTCATCATCCCAGCGGTCTCCTACAGGCTCATCATTGTTGTCTCTTACTTCAAGAGTCTGTGATTGGTTGGCACGACTAGAGGCACCGTGGTGAGTCAGGGAGGCTTGTTGATTTTTGTCTTGAGAACCTGAGATTGAAAGAAACGTTTTAATGTGAGACACTGATTCAAGGCACTGATTTGTGTGGGAACACTTAATAAATTAAAGAATAGTAACTGGGATACAGAGGCCGTTATTCTGCTGCTACACACAGGTTTTAAACTGCTAAGCGGGGATCTGCTATAGCTTTTCATATTTATAACCATAAGTATACATGTTCATAGCCTGCATATAGCTTGTACACTCACTACAGTTATAGCCTGTACATACTTATAGCTATAGTAAATTGATAACATAGTACCGTGTACAGTGTAACACATTTATAATAGATCTATATTCTGTAATATATCTATATTTTTGCTAAAGCACTTCTGGATGGACGCAAACATCATTTCGTTGCCTTGTACTTGTGCAATGACTTCTATTCTATTCTGTGAGATCCACTGACTTGCCTGAAGTTACAGATCTGTCAAAGCACAATGCAGGGACTCCAGCAACACCTAAAGGGAAGAGGAAGAACTTTATTGACTGACCAAGGCGTTTTGGCTTGTGGCCTCATCAGGGTCATCTGAAGGTCACAAGCTGAAACGCGTTGGTCAGTCAATAAAGTCTTAGATCTGTATTGACAGATGAAGGCTTTGTGTTGTAAAAGGAAGCTGACACCTCCCAGCATCACCAGTCCCACTAATATAGACACATACACTTATTCCAGTGTTGAGATTCTTTAGATGATTCTATTTAGATTAAATATGCATGTTAGTGTATGTAAATCTTTATTTAAAAAAAAAAAAAAAAAAAGGCGGGGTGCTGTGGTTCCACCTCACCTGTTGCGGCTGTTCCATCACTGGCACTAGGGGGAGTAGTGGGGCTGGTGGCATTAGCGGCAGGTCCGCCTCCCTCAGTGCCTGTACCCCCTTCCGTCCCTGGAGCATTGCGGATCAGCTTAGAAGTGAGCGAGCTCATGCCTGTCACAGCCCAGCCAGCCCAACTGGACGAGGCACCTGCAGGCTGAGCAGACGATGCTACGTCCTTTTCTGCAGGACACACAAAACAGAGTTGTTACGTTTAAGTTTTCATATAAAATGTGTCTATTAATTTGATTAAAGCCATCTGAGATAGTTACAGGATTATTTGTTTCTTTTTCTCGAACTCTATTCATGGTAAAGAAACAACTACACAGCATGGAGTATCTAGTTTGAGGGAAGATTTCCAGTGCAGTTTACAGTTACATACCGATCTCAGCTAGCTTGCTGGGGTCTTCTGACACAGTCTCTAGTTTGGAAAGGAAACTCTTTATGGCTTTGAATGCCTGACAGGGAGAAAGAGACAGGCAAAATTAGAGGTTCAGAACAAGCACCAAGACATGTAGACATCCCAGTTTCAGCAAATAGTCCCTTCTTGCACTAGTCGTTTGACAAATGTGACTGAAATAACAAAATCTAAAACCGTAAAACCATATTTGTATTTTAGCTTTGTGCACAATATTGTTTCAACTAATGTTATTTTTTTCTAAAGTCTATTTTTAATTTAATGTCATTTAACTGAAATGTTCTTGCACATTTTATTTTTAGTTAAATGCTGTAAGATTGATAACTCCACCACCACTGCTGGTACACAGCATCAACCGCTGGTTTGCATGCAAGTCTTCAAAACAGCTGTAAGATCGAGGACCAAAAAGACTACAAATAAATGTAAAACATTCTTGGCATAGTTACAGGTAAAACTAAGGAACACTACAAACCAACGCAAGAGTACAAGCTGTGAGAAACCATGAAACCACATATCTCCAGCAGTCGAATACCTGACTCGCTGAGTTTTTATAGTCATTATCTAGACTTTTGTTTCTGTCATTTCAGGTCATCACATTTTTTTTTATATCTTGTAAGCACAAAAGAGCACCTTTTAAAATTCATTTGTTTTATTTTGTCTTATTTTGAATTCCTGCTTGATTCTTGCTTTTTTGTTGCTATGATTAGCCATTTGTGAAAAACCTCCGTGTGCAACTGATGTTTGTTAAAAAGAAATTGTTAAAATAATACATTTCAGTTCATTCTGGTTTTTTGTATTCAAAGTATAGAAAAAAAAATACTGAATGGTTGATTTGAATGAGTATACCAGTGCAATTGTAGGCAACATAAGGCCAAAAACAACATTTGTTTTTGAAGGTTATTTGAACATACTGCAATCATATATATCTATATCTCTCTCTCTATATATATATATACACACACCGGTATATTGTGATATTCGATTTTCCTCACATCACCCAGCCCTACCTGATCCCTGACGCTCTTATCGGGGTCAACAGTAACAGCACACAGGGTGGGCAGGATACGGGCAGCAATCTCCGTTACACTGTAGTAGTTGTGTGTAGCCGCAAAGCCCAGCACGCCAGCAGAGCGCGACGCAGGGAACGGGTCCTTTGTGGCTCGAGAGAAGGCAGAAATCAGAACGCGCTGTCGAGTCTGTGGACAGCAAGACAATTAAATTCTTTACTGAGCACTGATCTCAGTCTTTCTGTTTTTTTTTTTTTAAGTTTTACACAGTGATGCAGGTCTGCCTTACCCCAGCGTTGAGGTAGGAGGCGATTTTTCCCAGGCAGACGGTGGTGTTGCATCGGATTGGGCCTTGCTCGTCTCTAGCCTGGAGCCGGGCAAAGTGACGCATCAGTTCCTGGTTCAGGTTGGTCTCATTTAGCTTCGGAGCCAGCAGCAGCATAGACTGGGGGGGAGGGGGAAGAGAGCATATTTAGGATGCTATCTGTCATGTACTATATGTATGAGATAACACCTGTTATATTGTGCTTGTGTTTAATTGTGAAAACTACCTTCACAGTCTGTTCCCTGATAGCAGGGTTTGTGTCTGTGAAGCCGTGAACAACATGAGGGAAAATCTGGGAATTCACTGCAGCCTCATTCAAATACTGAATGAACTGCTCCATCTGAGAAAGACAGAGACAGAGTTAGGGTGAGTAAAAGATAAATGGTTTTATTCTTTAATACTAGAGATGAAAACAGCCGGACAGGCATGTGATTAAACAACTGTTTGTTATGTTTTACTGTTCTTTTAACCAATGTTTCTCTTTCCATGCTAGAAATAACATACCATAAAATTAAATATGAACTCTATATTAAAAACGTAAAATAAATAAGAACACCATCTCGGCAATATTCACCCTAATCACTGAAAAATCGCTGAAACTAGTCAATATTTAAAAAGAACAAAACTGTTTTGTGCAGAACTTGTTTTTAAAATCTTACACATGATGTAAAGATTACCTCTGCAAGGAAAGCAAAAGAATATTCCACACCTGCTGCAGAAGTCGTATCCTCATAGCTCGGTCTGTGGAGGAGAACATTTTCACAATGACAGGGATGATTTTCTGCTGGTACTCTTCTGCTGACAGAAATTTTCCCACCTAGAAAAACAGAGGAAGAGAGAGAGATTGAAGAAAAAGAAGTGCACAGATATAGCTACAATCATGTCATTTTTCAACTTGTCTCGAGAATGATTTTACTGATGATTATTGTCTGCTTCACTGTCTGTTTCTAATTAGGGTCTAAAGTCGCCTCGGGAGTTGGGATTTACCTTGAAGAGTGGTGTGAGGACGACAGCGCCTGCATTGCCAAACTCAAAAGCGGTGAGCAGCTGAGGCAGGACTTTGTGCTTGCAGAAGTCTTCAGGGAAAGAATCGAGATTGTCACTCAGATCCTGGAAGAACTGCTGCTTCTCGGCTGGCTCCTTGATCTAGAAAGGATCGTTTTAAAGAGATCATCTAATTTCTGCAATAGATGATTGGACTAAAGCGAGGCATGGTGTCCAGATTATACTTGTTTAGCCAAATGTCATCAATCTGTTCGGGATTTTGATTAATTTCAACCTCGGTTTTAATACTTCATGCTGTGACTTGACTAGAATTTTTTTATTGTAGTTGTAACACAAACAAAAGTCTGTGTAAGACCTGAATCTCTTCCAGGAAAAGGTTGCTCTCCACAAAGCTGCTACTCAGGAATCCCCCTGGGGCTCTACAGTTCTGGAGAAACCGGGCAGGGTTTGGCCGAGTCCGGGGGTTGGCTCCAACCAGCTCACAGTAATGGGGAACCAGAACCTTGGGGATCTGTGGGAACAGAAACAAAGGAAAAAAAAAAACAATAAACTTGACTTATACCTTTTTTTTTCTTCTCATATGACAAAAAAAAATAAATATATATATATATATCTTCAGCTGTCAGTGAGCCTATGAAGCAACAGCACTAAGACTAAAGCTCGCAACGAGAGATCACATTTCCTTCATAAGAGCTTCTCCTCGCAGGCCCCTTCATATTTTAAAGACCTCATTAACACACTATTCTGACAGAGCTCAAAGCACACAGGATGCAGAGCCTTCAGCTATCAGGCCCCTCTCTCATAGAACATGCTCTCTACTTTAGGATTGGGCTTAAAACATAAATTCTTGAAAAAGCTTAAAATTAGGGTTGGATCAGGTGACCCGGAACTATCGCTTATTTATGCCGCTATAGGCTCAGACTGTTAGAGAGCTTCCCATGATGCACTGAGCACTTCTCCACTCCAGTCATGTTTGCAAGCCATTAACTTTTGTTTCCTCTTTCCTGTGGTTTATCTTTCGTCCTGTTTTCACAGTTTTTTCTCCCTGGTGGCACCAAACGCGGGTTCATATTAGATCATCAGATTCTTGGGTTTCTCTCCAGTTGATCTTAATCATGACATATGTATTATTTAAGGGCCCTGCTATCCCACTATATGTTCAGTCTATTGTTGCTGATTCTTTACATAAGCAGAATCATGTAATTCCCTTTAAACAACAACCATCATAATCTAAATATTCCTAAAAGCTGCATTTTTCTTAAATAAGAGCATGCACTCCAAGGAGCAAGGACAATATTTAATCATAAGGTGTTTGGATAAACAGCAATTGAAGACACAAACCTTTCCCAGGGAACGGAGGGAAGAAGTACGTGGCAGCGGCCCGTTGAACACCTCCCAAATCAGGCAACCTAGTCGCCACACCTCTCCTGCCCTGTAACAAAAATACACACAGGTCAGTGCAAAAGGGTGCAGCCAAAGCGCATCAGGTAGTTTTTCTCTAAATGTCACACTCACCATTTCTCTCCACTGCTGTTAGACATCTCTGGTGGGTCATATTTCTCCATGTCTGGGTAAACTGCCTTTGGTGCAGGGAGCGAGACCCCACTTGGGTCTCCCTGCTCAGGGGCCACATGGTCGAGGGCTCCTAGCTTCCACTCTCCAGCTCGATCCACAAAAACAGCCCATATGCCCAGGTTGTTATGGAGCAGATGGCAGTCATTGATGAGAAAACTCAGAGCTTTCTGTAAGCAAACAGAGGAAGAGACGGTGAGAGACGACTAATAGAGGACAGATGCCACAAACAGCTCAACTCTCCTGTCCTTACCACTATCTGATGGAGTCCCCATGAGATCTCCAGTTCCCCAACACCACCCTTCTCTGCCCGTGCCTTCAGATGGGCTGCCAGGGGTGTAACCTGCTCAGTAACCAGGTAGAGGCTCTTCTCTGTCTGTAACAACCACACCAAGCTCATCAATCAACTAAGAAAGGAAAAAAAATAAAAGCAAAACTACACTTCAAAACTATTCTATGTCACTGCATTAAACAGTAACTTGACATAGGAAAACAGCTTCTCCACAACAGTTTTTGCATTTATCTATCATATGCACAGCACATTTATACATCACAGCATTTTCCCATCAGATCTCTATTAAAAACATGCTATAAATTAATACTAAATTTACTGAATATTGGAGAGTTCAGATCACAGATATTTTAGAAGAAAAAGCGATTACCATTGCTTTGCTGGATATTTGATTATGCACCAGTTCTTCAAAATGCTCAATTTATATCTACTGACTGTTTTTCCTCTGATTGTATCATTTTCCAACCTTGCCATTGTGTACTTTCATTGCCAGGTGTCTTTGTGAAAGATGTTTTCTCTCAAGAGACGCCCTGCAGGGCTCACAAAATCGCTAGCCCAACGTCCCGGGGCTAGCGATTTTTCTAGTCGGGCTACCAAAATCCATCTCAGCCCTGCCCGTCGGGCTATCATAGGAAAATATATGTCAGTGCTTTTGCATTCTTTCGAAAATGTAGCTGAGTAATTATGTCATTGGCATCAATGAGCCACTGTCAATATGTGACATATTGAAATCGCGTTAGAATTTGCTCTTGTTTTTTGCTTTCACTTTGCAATCGCGCGAACTGTGTGTAGAGAGCGACAGCACTGATTGGTGAGTGACGATTAATTGCGCACCAATTCCTCTGGCATCGGCTTATCACTCATTAGCTTACTATTCAGACATGACAAGTGAAATCTCCCGCAGCAAGCTTAAACATGTGAGAGGTTGATTGCGCAGAGAATCGCTGACCGTTATGCAAGTGTGTGTGTAAAAGCAGCAGGATTTAAGCCGGTATTTTAGTTCTGCTCAGCCAAATAAGACAGGTCAGGGTGAAGAAGGGGCAGCCAAAGAAAAGCCGATCACAAAACGGAAAAGTTAGGAAAAATCAGACTGTGAAGCAAAAAAAAAGTGCAGCTTTTTTGGTTTCATGGACAAAAGAATTTCTGTGGCTG